GAGAGAGAGAGAGAGAGAGAGAGAGAGCAGCGATACATCTCTTCGCATCCAACCCAAAAGGGACAGTCGCATGATTCCCTTTGCTTTTCTTGCGTGACCGCAAACATGTCACGATCGAAAGCATACTTCGGTCGCTTTCACGATGGCAATTTCTTTTTTGAATTGTTGTACCATTTATGTTTCGCGTCAAATAACTTGTATATACTCGGATGCTGTGTTACACGTATTTCCATCGTTCCGCATGCTTTTTGGTCGTCTCGTACAAGTCCGCCGTGAAAGTTGTAATTACCTTCGGAAGTGCCAGCTTCCCTCGAACGTATATTATTCGTTTTCGCGATCTTGTCTCCGCTTGAAACGGAGATGTGTTTTTGTGTTTTTACGTGAGACTTTTTTTTTTTATAAAAGCGAAATGATTCCTTCCGTTGGAAAGTTCATATCTTCTTATAGTAACAGTAGTGTCACTCATTGCTAAAAAAGTCAATCAATTCCAAATAATAAAATTTGATAATACTAACAGTAACAAAAAGTGTTTACAGTATAGAAAGTTTCTAATTAATTTTAATCGCATAATAAAAGACAGATTTTTTTTGTTGCTTTTAATGTTCCCTCTGTCTAAAATCTTTTAGAAAAGGGAACATTTTTGATGCACAAAAAAAAAGAATTAGATCATTTTGGCCGCAAATATTTTTTCGATGCAGTTCCAGATTTTTTTGAATTGTAAAAAGACATCGATGACTTCTTTTCAATGTTTTCGATCAAAATCGAGACATTTTTTTCGCGGGAAATTGCGGGAGATGCGAGACGCGCGAAAAAGCGCGATCCGCCGCGCGCGATAGGCGGCCAGCTGCTGACGCGCCACGTAGTGCAAAGGACCCCGGGTCCTCTGGGGCCTGCACCACGTCGTCTGTAAATTCTTCCGAGATGACAGTGCGCCGCGGTTTGCATTATCTGATACAACACAAGAGCCGTGGCGGGAGGGCAGCGACCCGTTTGCTCTTTTAACGCTGCGCGTCGGCGCGCGTAAGTCAGCCTTAATTGTTTGACGCCGGCGAGACGATGCGAGTTATCCCTCGAGCCGTTAAAGGATCGGAACCCTTGAGGACCCGTAAAGATCCGCACGATCGACAACCGATATAATCGACAGCGCATCGAATGCGCATCACCGCCAAGATCGTGGAATCACGCGAATGCCAGAGGATATTTCTCATTTGAAGTCTTAAATCCGCGCTTGTCACAAGTGCGAATTCCCTTTTCGAGAAAATCGATAACAGGGTAATTACAACGAGGATATAAATTATGAGTTAAATGATGATCAAAGAAAATATCATTATTTATAGATTCACGAATGGTCCTTATAAGTCGTTAAATCAAAGATGTTAATATACTTATAATATAAATAATATAAATAATAATAATCTTTCTGATTGTTTGATATATACAGGACGATAAAAACAAAAAAACACAGCAGAAATATATCTTTTGAAAAAGTTTCAAGTTTATTTATTGCTGACATCAATTTAAACAAAAATTTATTTTTAATATTACATATAAAATTTAATAATCACTCATTTTTTTTTTTAATAATATTAACATTTTAAGAATCATTTAGTATTATGCATATTTATTTTTCATAAGAGATTTCAGTAAAAAAAAAATCGTTTTACGCTACTTATATTCATTATATTAGAGAACGGACAGTTGAATGAAATTCTTCAATGTCATAGAGAAGATCAACCGGAGGAATTTTGGAGGTCCAAAAAAGTGAGATAACAAAAAATTAGGGACTCTTTCGGGCTCCTTGAATAGACTCCGGCAAAACACGAGGGTGGGATGAAGGAGGAAGGGGACGAGCAGTAAAATATGATAGCGGGATTCGCGAAATATGAGACCGAGACGACGGGATCCGTTGCTCTGGACCTCCATGGGCCCCCGTGTGGGCACAAAGGCTTATCTTGTCCCTCGGCTTATTCCGCCATTTTGGTGCTCCACCTCCGCTTTCCCTCCCTCGCGTCTCCCTTCTCGTTTCTCCTCGTTTTACGTTCTCCTCCGGGCTCCTTCTCGTCTTTTTCGTCTCTTCTTCTTGCTTCGGCCCTTCGTCGAGTCGTACGTCGTGCCTTCCTTTCTTGTCGGGGTCCGCTGTCCCGTAAAAGGATCCGCTAAGTAGCGCTAAGAGGTTCGAGGAAAGAGGATACTTGGGCATTCAGAATTTTGCACGACGGACCCGCAGCATCGGTGTTTTGCACGTTATACCCCGGCCTTTGTAATTGTCGTGGGCGCAGCTACTCCGCGTCTCTGTTTCGCGTACTGTATTGCACGTAATGAGAGAAGCTCTTCTCCTCCATCGAAAGGAGAAATTAGATCTGGATCACGACCGTCGCGAGATATTATTATTTCCTTGAATCAGACCATCCATGGTTGAATGCTCTTCGGATTATCGATATTTTTTTTAAACAAAAATATAACATATTTAATATAATATATAACATATTTGTGTTACGTAATATAACATATTTTAAAACAATTAAAAATATTATCCGATTATTTAATTTTTTATTTAAGAACTCTTTCCACCTCTGACAATTTTTAATATCTTATATTTCATTTGCCTGTGCTCGTGGCTACACTACACTTTACATTTACATTTAAGTCAGTCATTTTCATTATCGATCACTCGTGATCTGATATTGCGATTCGGAATCTCGTCGGACACATGCGTTATCGTATTGCGGATATCGCGGGATGTGTCCGTTGTATTATGCTTCGCGCGTATGCGAAGTTTATGATCATCCGCGCATATAATGAAGAGGAGGAGTGGCACAAGATCTCTCAGTGTCATTGACGTACGAGAGCAATTACGACGCTATTGCGTTTTCTACCGGGCGATCTGATACTGTACTGGCTCTCTTCATGGTTGATGAATGCTCACGTGGCGCGCGCTTCGTGGGTTGCGCTCGGTGAAAAATGCGGATTAATAAATCGGTAGCGAGCAATATAGCCGCGGATTGCATCAACTCGCTATTAAACAACACATAGATGTAATGAGTCGGTCCTTCCAACCGACGGTCGTTAAATTGCACAAACGACGTCGTCTGTGTCGACTATCAGTATGCAGCGACTGCCACGAGGCAGTCTTCGAATTGCGGCTGGTTGCTCAATATTTTAACGAGAGAGAGAGAGAGATTCGTGCAACCTACGCATGCATTTTTGCTTTTTTTACTCTAGATCTGAATATAACTAAAATCTTGCCAATAAAATAGCACGAATTTATCTACCAAAATTTAATGTAAACTCGCAGTGAAAGAGAATCAATGTAACATCCAAGTGTTGCTAAAATAATTATTTATTTTGAAAATAGCACAATTTAATATCACAGAAACGGCATTGCTTAATCGAACTTAAGAACTTATTTACAATAAATTTAGAGTAAATTTTTGCCGTAAGTAAGTCTCGAGACAATTTTTACGATACTCGACGATCCTTGTTGTAACTCTCTCAAGTTTACTTACTTTCCTCACGGTGTTTTAGCTGCCCGACCGTAGTTTGTGCGAATGAAGATGACGTAAAGCCGGCGTCGCCCGGGAAGGCATTACAAATCGCCGCGCAAACACTCTAACACAGAATGCGAAACAATGTTATCCGCCACGCCATCACGTGCTGGTACACTTCCAGGTGTTCACACGGAACAGGAATTCGCGAGACGCCGTTCTTCTTCCGAGCAGTACGTTTCTATTGAGTTACCAATGGGGGGAGGGGGGGGGGGAGAGGTAACTCGCTTAAAGGCGTCAATCTTCACTTTTCGCCGAGTTTTGTCGAAGCGGAATTAAATCGACTTACATCTTCACTCCCGTTTCTTAGACCTCGCCCTTTGTATTGGCGATCTAGAGATAATCGATCGTCGATACGGATACCACTCCGAAAAAGGTGTAAAAAGCTCCGCGGGGCCGAATCGTAATCGAGATATATTTTATTGTCACGCGCAATCTGCGGGTTTTTCTTTCCTCCTCGTCTCTCGTTCTCGTGCCATTCCTTTTACGACGCGCATCGCATCGCGGAAGATTTGTTACCCCCCCCCCCGGACTAAGGGAGGGAGATATCTCAATATTCGCGGCTTGATACACCCGATGCATACGTATATGCAGGCACGCACACATACGTACCGCTTATGGCTGCGTACCTCGGGCAAGTAGAAGTTCTGCCGTCCGACACGCGCAGAGTTTCATATGATACATTACTGAAGATGTAGATTGCCCCTACGATCCAGCAACTTTGCATTGTCGTGGGAGGAACAATGGCTCCTACGTTTTGTTGTTTTCCAACCCTTATTTTCGTCTCGTTTTTCCTTTTGTGACCATTTAACTATTCCTTTCCTTGACTTTCCAAGAGTCTAGAATTTCAACTTTCGCGAAATACAAGATATCATCAACAAAAAAAAATTCCATTTAAAATGTAGAAAGTTAATCAATTAATTGAAAAAAAACGTACTATCGAATTAAATTACTTAAATATATTATTTTTTTACAGTTTTATAATATAATTATTATAGTCAGACGTTTATTAAATTATTGTATTTGCGAAATGCTTGCTATATTTGTTGTACGGCTTGCACTGACGAGATCTGTATGTTTCGAATACAATGCTGGCATTGTATGAGGCTCTGGCTTCAAAGAGACTTCAACATATTGACATATTGACACATTGTCGTGTTTCAGAACTTCGCGCAATTGTCAGTTGAAGGCTCGTCGTCAGCGAGACTTCTTTGAGCGAAGTTCGGTCGGACTAATTAAGAGGGCATAGTCCTCTTCGCGAGATGAGGCATTCAAGCTTTTGTTTCTTCCCGAGCGGTAAGAAAGACAGCGGGTTAGTTGTCGAAGCAAGAGGTGGATGCGCCGACTGTCAGAAGTGATGGCACCCTCCCGGGCGAGGGAGACGCGCGCATTTGTTGTCCAGATCCCTTTTCACGGACATCGCGATTTCCTTTTTCTTCCGCGTCCGCTCCGCACGCGTGTTCGATTCTCCGGCCACTTCATCACTCCGCCGGGAGGATGTCGATGCCATTTTTATCGCGCAGCTTGAGGAACAATACCAGCCGCGATCTCTTAGGACATTGCCCCGCCGAATAATGTCCGCCTCATACCTGACGTTGGCTACATCGATTCCGAATACAAAAGATTTAAAAGAAAGATTTAATTTTCATAACATGATTAAAAACATTAAGGAATATATAATTATGTTATTTGTATAAATAGTATAATGTGAAAAATTAAAATTATTTGTCAGTGCACTTACCAATTGTTATTTTATATTTTACGACTATTGTACTTTCGATCGGAAGACAATGAAAGTTCCCGTGAGTTCGCAGTATCGGGATGTTGTTGACGTATTTGCAGGGATAGTTACATAAATACAGTGCAGAACGTAAAAGTGTCGAGGAGGACCGCCAAGATTCTATCTGAGCTTACCCAACACGCCCGCTAAGTCTTCCGGCGGACTTTATCCGCTTGATCTGCGCTCGCAAGTCCTTTCTTCAGTTTCTTATCCCCTCGCCACTGTCTTACCTTCTTTCATGATTATACTTCTCTTTATCCGCTTCTATCTCTCATTCCTCTTCGTCCGGCTTCGTCGAAACTAAACGGGAAAATTTTAGAAAGGCGGCATCTGATGTGATCCAGATAATAGTGGTCCCTTATTAAGCCGGCAAAACCGAAAAAAAGAGATAGATTTTAAGAATGGAATATCCAGAGAAAAACGTGAGAGAGAAGAGTAGTTTTTCAATGTTTGACAAATTAAGCAAATAAATCTCGAGCGTTAACGTATTAAAAAAAAAAAAAAATGGAAATTTTTTCCCCGAATCAACAGTTAGGATTATGAGTCTGATTATAGTAATCGTAAAAGTCATCTTTCTATTTCAATCAAAGAATTTATCTCTCATAAAAGAATACTAAACTACTACTAGAGAAGAAATCGAGAATGATCTAATAAATTGTTGCTGTAACTATTATTAAAAAATAATATATAATAATTTCATTTTTTTATCAACTTTTTTCAATCAATTTTGTTGATGTGGAAAATTCACGTAGCTTAACATTTCTTCAAATGTAAGACTCAAGTTTTACTAAAATAACAAAGGTAGCAACGAAAAACGAGATAAAAGCTCTGAAGAAGAAAAGATCGTGGAGTAAGAGCGTCTCGAGCCGTTTTTTCGCTGCTAACAAGCCGGATTGTCGCTCAGCAAGACGCCATCCTGTAGTGCGTCTTCTTCGTCCAGGCATCAGTCACTCCTGAAATCGTCATCAGAAACCTCGGCGACGTCATAGGATCGCGCACACGTATGACGCGCGTGTGTGCTCGCGTGCGTGCGTGCGTGCCTGCCTGCGTGCGTGCACATGGTCCAACGATGCCTTGTGTTTTGCCTCGGAGCACTCGTGATATATGGTCGTCATGAACGAGACGGACACACCGTGCCTTCTGGGTAACGTGTCTTTTCTGCATGTTCCTCCGCTCGTTACTTCTTCCTGCGTTTTTTTTTTCTGCTTGACTAGCAGCGCACTACCGGCAGGAGTTTCTTTGACGAGGGGAAAAAGTTCGAAATATGAATATCGACTTTACAAATGAGGCGCACAGGTGGATGTATCTCACGATAAAAAAAATTTTTTGTCCGTGATTTCCAAAAGATACTCTTTATTAATACAACGATATGTATATTTGTGTGTTGACACGTGATTTTTTTTTTTATATCTCATATGAATTTCGAATATTCTCGTTTAGATTCACAGAATTGATCATTGTTCCGGGTCGCTATTGTGTTAGCGAGAAACACCTGTTTTGAATACGCCTCGCGAGCGCGCGTTCGAATCACAACTTTTCGACGAAGCGCGCCTCTCGCCGACTCCATTCGAAACGAACGCATCATTGTGACGAGGAAATTGGTCTTCGCGAGTCGACGAACCGCGGCCAATGGAATTACGTCCGTTCTGACGCTGACAAAGGGCAGCCTGATTTCTATGGGACGAATTCCCTTCGTCAGTGACTGCGCCGGCTCTTTCGTTCGCATTTGACCCCCTCCCTCGTTCCCCCTCGTCGTGGAAATAGCCAATTTAAGGGTACAACGGGATCGACATGCGTGCATACGTGCGTGCGTGCGTGCGTGCGTGCGTGCGTGCGTGCGTGCGTGTGCGAGAAAGTGCACGAGGTCGCATACAAATGCGGCCTTAAATGCAGTCCCTAGTCCCCGCCGATGAAACCATTCCGCACGGAGGATGATTTCCTTTGCGCTCGCTTTCAGCGTAGGTCGCATCGGCACGACCTCTCTTCCCGCCTTCCCGTGGAGGAGAGTCGCGATCGTAAACCGGGACTGGCAACGAATCCAAAACGAATCGGGACTGCTTTCGACACGATGTCTTCGAGGGCGAGGGGGAAACTTTTAACCCTGAGATGCGTTCGAATAGATTGCGAGAGAAGTGAGAGATCGGCGGAACAGAAAGCGTATTGTTCCGTTTTGTAATCTTAAGATTTATATCGGGGATAATTTGGCAAAAAGTATTCTGTAAAAATTTCCCCCGAGTATTCTGTAAAAATTCTTTAGTTTATCAAAAATGTCCATTTTTGAAGTTCCATCAAGGAACTGTATGTGTCACGTCTGAAAAAAATCTGGAATAAAGCAAATAATTAGCAAAAAAAATATTTTTATATAAATCGCACGAAGTGGCTGTGCCAGCTCGATAGATGTGTGTGTTTTTCAATTATCTTTTAAATTTTCTTGAATTTTTGCTGATGCTGCTGACTGGGGAATGATATAATACCAGTTTCTTGTTCTGTTGTGTGGTCACAGCGCAAAGTTTAACGCATATACCGTATGTGACGCGAGTAAGCTGGATTTGCAAGGTACAAAGGCAAAGGTAGAACGACACTGGACACATTGTTCTGTCCCGCAGCGTTATTTATCTCGAACTGTCGCCAAGTTCTACGCCCATCGTGGCACTCTCGTGTGCATCGCAAAACAAGAAAGAAGAAGAAAACCAGGAAGACAGCAGAGAAAGAAATTATGAAGTTGCAGAACGAACAGGATTCTGCATTCTCGAAACTGGATTCCATGTTTTATTATTTTTTTTCTAGAAATACTTGCACGATCAAATCGCGATAATATGATTGATAACCGTTCCTAGATGAACATCTTTTACTTTTATATAAAAAAATTTCAACGCTATAGATAAAAATATGAATTCTTCTCTTTTACTGATGAACAAGTGAAAAATATTGAATTAAAAAGAGGAAGAAGAAAGTAATTCGATATATTTGTGATATTATGATATTAGAATTCGTGTAATTCGTGAACTACGTTACACTTTGGTCATCGTAAAATGTTAACACCGGGCATTAGATGCCATTCTGCTTTTTATCGGAAAAAAGCAACAAGATAAGCATCATTCGATACATCACACTTGCTTGTAACGACGTACAGTTTAACTACAAGTCAAAGGTATACGGCATCCAATTTACTGTCGTCCGTGGGAGGTCAGAGTCATTGATATTCCACGGATCGGCGGATCGCGAGCCAGGAATCGCGGTCTCGGGATCTCCACGTCCATCCGGGATCGATAATTTTCTTCCGCGGGATGAACACCACGATGTATGGTCCGTGCCGATCGACGGCATCGATCCGTCTGATCCGCCGCTATATCGGTGTACCGTTATCCCGTGCGGCGAACAGGCGTGTGACGGCGATAGAGGCGAGGGACAATCCTAGATCCCCGCTGATAATGGCGGGATGACGAGTGAAATCTGATAGAAGGGAACGTTTGACGGATAGACAGGCCGGCATAAACATGTATGTGTGTTACCGTCGGAAAGCTCGTTTTGCCACCGAAGAGATCGAGATAAGCCGATTTCGTATTTGAACCGGCTTCATCCTTTCTCTACGGTCCTTCTCCTCGATCGGATTATTTATCGATTTTCTCGGGCGGACATTCGGTGAAATTGCGGGAAACTGAATCACATTTTGAGAATCTGAAAATGATACACCTTTCGATATTGAAAAACAATAAAATATAAGAATAAAAAGTCCACAGTATGTAAAGTAAAGTGACAGGATAATGTTTGCAAAATGTTTGCAAGGTAAGCACGAAGATTCGAGTTAGAAAAAAATTGAAAAAAGTTTGTCCGAAACTGTAATTTTGAAATGTTATCTTTGAAAGGCCCCTTTTTTGTTTATATATTATTTATGATATAACATTTTGTTTATACTAAAGAACGATAATAAATATATATAAAATTAATGTGTCAAAAGTGACAAACAAATAAAATGTTGCGTACAGCAAAATTGGTATTAGCATTTATATTGCAAGTCATGACAATTTTTCATTTTCATAAATTACTTAGTCCGCTAAGATCAATTTTATCTGAAATAAACTTTGTATCGCGCGCGTATTTCTTATTAATCTTATCCCGTGGCGATAAGAATCGATCTGATCGATCAGAAAGAGCTTGGGCGGAGATACTGTCGTTATCACGGCAAGGAAATTAATTTGGTCCCAAAACGAACCGCCGCTTTATTAGCGGAAGTTAATTATCGCGGACGAAGTTCGCTTCTCTCGTCAATTCTTCTCTTCTCTCGTTTCTCTTTCTTTCGTAAGCTCCGCCTTTTTGTATTTTTTCCTATTAAAGACGCGTGTAAATTGGCACTTTCGTACTTCGCCGATTAAGGAACAATCTTCGCGATCATTTGATTACACAAATACCGTTACATTTTGCCGAGTTTCATATGTTTTCGATATATTATATAAACATATTAAACTGAAAACTTACTGAAGTAACTGAATTAATTACGAAGCTATTTTGTATATTTTGAATTAATGATGTTAATAAATAATAAAGATCTAAGCATTACATGATATTACAATTTTGATAAAAAATTCATATGATTAGAAGTCTCGCATACTATATTGCTCTAGTACATCTAGTTACATATATCTTTATTACAATTGTTTTATCATTTTTTATATATTTCTTTAATTAAATTTTATTAAAATTGACATACGATGCGGATTTTTATAGATCATAAAAATTCTTTTATCTTAACCGCGAGTCTTTACTAATTATTTTCTCGATTTTTCGACAAATCATTTTTCATTTTTTTCCTTCGAGACATCCAATTTATTTAAGAAAATTACAAAGCACATCGATATCAGGATCTTCAGGTTGTAAAAGAGAGCAAATAGAACTGACATAGAAATAGGGAAAGAGTTGAAGAACAAAGAGAGGGTGCAAGAAATTGTAATGCTGCGAATTCATCACTATTAGCTTCGAGTTTTCGCGAGGAAACCTCAAAGATGTAGCGTCTGTTTCATTACTCATCTCATTACAGTAAAACAATAATAGAGCTAGTTGAAACTAAAATGGGAAAGAAAAATTGGGTTTATATTTATCGACTGTCTTTTTCCTGTTGTACGTCTAGTGTTTCGTTCCGCTCGATGGATTCTTAATCAGAAGCGGAGCGAGTTTTATTGTAATTGCAATCGTTTCGCAATTTCTTTGCAAGGTCATTTTTTTTATGAGGAAGTATCGTTCTTACTTAATGAAAATTTTCTTTTATTTCTCTTTAATTAAAAGGTCATTTAGACATATGTAATAAAACTGTCTTATGGTATACTATATAAAACACAAAGATTTTGTCGAATGTTTTAAGAATGTTTTCGTCTCAAGTTTATCGTCATATTTGGTGTACGTTGAGGTAATGTATAATGCGCGAGATCTTAATTTTTGATCAGCAATTTTGTTGAGTTTTATTAATGCCGGTGGGGGATTAATGGGCGAGCAAATTACAATCGGAGACGAGCTCGGAGCTTGCTACATATGTCGAATGATCGATGATATCGTAGTATTTATTATTCATTACCGTTAAGCCGGACGTACATACGCTCGTGGTCTGGTCGGCAAGTAATTAAAGTGATTAATGCCTTTCTTAATTGTCGAACCGAGAGACAGAAAGGGTCGTAATCTCAGCCGATGCGACTGCAAAAGTCTGAATTTTATTGCGCTCGTCTGCCCGTTCAGAATCTCGCCATCTTGTTTTATGCGCGCGTGTTACATCTTAAGCACAGAGAACAACGGAGGAATATAAAGCAAGAATGATCAGCGAGAAAAACATGTTACGTGTTGCATCCACAGCTCGTATGCGATCCCGGAAGACCAATTATTTCCCGATTTTGAAGTGATTTTTCCAACGTCGTGGCTCATGCATTGTGAAGCGTGAAGACGGAAATGTGTGGTTGTGTTTTGCTAATGTTTTATTAATAGGCGCACACATAGCTGTAATAACGCGTGCAATAGCTTTTTTTCTCGATTCGAGTACTGAAAATAGTTTATTGCCTTGGTCAGTGTCAAGAAAAAAAGAAATAGATTCCCTTCGTGCTTCTTTGCGATAAGTCATTTCACTCTATCGCGTTGTTTCCACCTAATCATGTGATCGATTCGTTCTGCTAATTGCACCGTTTTATAATTTACTTTTGATACTAGATATTTAATGCGCACATAAGTTACGCACCTAAGTACTCATGAGTACTTAACGTCGTATGTTAACCAACAATGATCGCGGAAATTGAAATGGGTTGGTCTGATAAAATGTTAGGACTAAGGTGGTGTGGTAAGATATTGAATCTCGTTTAAATTAAATAGATTTAAATTGGATTTATATTAATGCGAAGTTAATTAATAAGTAATCTTGTTATTTATTTACATTCTGGCATTCTCGATGTTGTATCTTTATTTTTACTACATTTTTATATTACATATTTATTTTTGATGTTACATAATTAGATTTTATGAAATATTTGATTTTTTTTTTTTTTTATTGGTTTCAAAGGTCACTGGTCACTTTCTCGAAATGAGAGTTACGGAATAGATAATGTCAATTCAAGAAGAATTGCGCGGCTTAATAATTATCGTTCGCCAATTACGAGCCCTCCTCGTTAACCTCATACGTTAGCCAACTTACCGTATTCCTCCGGCATCCGTTTCCGTTACCTATTCCACCAGCAATATTCTTTTGCCGCGAGTTAGATCGACAGAATTCGATCGTGCAGTTCCCGTCGGATTCTGATTAGATACACGCACGCGATCGCATTAGCAGCAATTCGCATAATGACAGTTCGAACCTTTCACGACTCGTTTAAAGGAGAATCTTCACCATAAATTCCTCAGTAATTTTCTAAGTTAGCCCGTGAAAGAATGTGTTTCTCATATTTCTCGCGATAATTAATTTTTCGTTTTATTTGTATAATATAATTTGATACATAGAAATAAGAGATGAACGAAAATCTTAATAAGTTTTTCAACATGTCTTAAATAATATGTAATAACAAAATTTTAATATTATTAAAACATATATAGAGAAAAATTTTAATGTGAAATTAGTTTTATTTGTAAAGTGCCATAACAAAAAGCATACATACATATATATATATATATATATATATATATATATATAGAGAGAGAGAGAGAGAGCACATATACATATGTGCAGCGTATGTATGAGTGCATATGTGTACATTTGACATGTCAAATCAAAGAAGCATAGGTTTATGATCAATCTAAAAGTGACGCTGTTAGTGATCGTAAATAGGTACGATAACCTTCGAGAACGGGTCATGTTTCAGGTCAATGTACGTTAAATGTCGCTCATGACAATACATCCGCCTATAACGAAACATCCTTCGGTAACTATGCCGGATTCATGTACATCTCGTACTATGTAGTAGGAGAAAGCGATCTTTTTCTATTTTTAACATCAATATTCCGTCGATAAATATTCTTGGTTTTAGCAATCAGTATTGCGGTTTTGTTACGACACAATCTGGAATAGTTTATCAAGATAAAAATACCGTTGTTGCTTAGTTTAGTGAGAGAAAATTAACATCAGACTAGGTATTTATATTATTATTTCGGCTTGTGATTCAGATTCAGAGAAAATTAACATCAGACTCGGTATTTATATTATTATTTCGGCTTGTGATTCAGTTACGCAAATATATTTCAATTTTCAAAAAATGCT